ACACTCACATACACACACACACATTACTCAGAGGCATTCACTTGCTCACACAATTGTGTCATTTGGCCCCCATAACACGATGAATACCAGACACACACACACACACACACACACACACACACACACACACACACACACTTTTGTGTCATTCTGTCCCCATAACATGATGAATACCAGACACACACACACACACACACACACACACAATAAATGTAAAAATAACCAAATGTTTAGGAATATCAGAAACACACATACACACACACACACACACACAAAAACAAGCATGGTCACACGCTCAAATGCAGACAATTGACACAAACACACTCGCAAGCAAACACACACGCACACTCACATACACACACACATTACTCAGAAGCATTCACTTGCTCACACAATTGTGTCAAACAATTGACACAAACACACCTGCAAGCAAACACACAATTCACACACACATTTGTGTCATTCTGTCCCCATAACGTGATATATACCATACACACACAAACAAACACTTTCACACGTACAAAAACAAACGTCCAACTGATCAAAAGTATAAGAAAATAATACACACAAGCAAAAATGCAGACAATTGACACAAACACGCATGCAAGCAAACTCACGACACACACATTACAGACATGACGCACACAATAGACCCCATAGACCACACTTACATACACAGACTCATTACACACAGACATTCACATACATACACACAAATGTTGGTATTGGTGGTTTATGAGGACTTTCCATAGGTCTAACACATTTTATTAACAAACGAATGACAGTATCAGATGACTTTGTAAATCAGAAAACGTTATGGGGACCAAATGACCAAAAGTATAGCAACACTAGTAAATTTGGATTATTTGGGGACATTTTTGGTCCCCATAAGGAAAGCGGCTGATAAATCACACAGAATGAAGGGTTTTGAAAATGTAAAAACACAGAAGGTTCGGTTTAGGGTGGAGGAGGACAGAATACAGTCTGTACAGTAGACAAATCATTACTTGTATTAAGAGTCACCGTACAAACTGAACAAAGTGTCTCTGTGTGTGTGTGTTTCTGACACCATAAACAGGTTTTACAGCTTCCTTTCAACCAAAACATATGTTAGGATAAGGGTAGATCAGGTTTATTGTGTTGTATTGTGTGTGTGTTGATCCTACAGAATTAAAAACGCCCATCATTCACAACTCTGGCACACTAGTTTGCTCAATATTCTGCTTAATGTAATATTTTCTGCTAATAACAGGAGAGTTTCCAGCTTCATTTTACTCAACATCCATTTTTCTTTGGCTTAGTCCCTTATTTATCAAGGGTCGTCACAGCGGAATGAACCGTCAACTATTCTGGCCTATGTTTTACGCAGCGGGTGCCCTTCCAGCTGCAGCCCAGACTCTCATTCACACTACGGCCAATTTAGTTCATTCAATTCACCTATAGCGCATGTTTGCAGGGTGTGGGGGAAACCGGAGCACCCAGAGGAAACCCACACCAACACGGGAAGAAAATGCAAACTCCACACAGGACTGCCAACTGGCCCAGCTAGGACTCGAACCAGCAACCTTTTTACTGTGAGGTGACAGTGCTAACCACTAAGCCACCGTGCTACCCCTTCAATACATTTTCCAAGCATAAAAATGCTTACAAATGTCTTTTTATGGAGACATGATTAGTATTTTGTCCTCTGCATCTCAAAGTCTTGAAGAGGATACAGAAATACAGTATTCCACTTTAAATTTCACACAATAGAAATATTCATATTTTAATATTTTGAACAACATCTCATTAACCAAGGATGCATATATTTGATCAAAAATACAGGAAAAAAAAGGCATTAAATTGGTTTTAAACTCATAAATGTTACATTTATATCAGATTTATATCTAATCTAAAGCCTTAAAGCAAAATATAAAGATTATAGAAATATATTGAAGGTGGCACGGTGGCACAGTGGGTAGCGTGGTCGCCTCACAACAAGATGGTTGCTAGTTTGAGTCCTGGCTGGACCAGTTGGCATTTCTCACCCATGTTGGCGTGAGTTTCCTCCGGGTGCTCCGGTTTCCCCCACAGTCCAAACACATGCGCTACAGGTGAACTGAATGAACTAAATTGGCTGTTGTGTATGAGTATTTGTGTGTATGGGTGCTTCCTAATACTGGGTTGCAGCTGGAAGGGCATCCGTGGCGTAAAACATACGCTGGAATATTTTAATTTCGCTGTGGCGACCTCTGAAATAGAGACCAAGCCGAAGGGAAATGAATATAAAGGATATTATAAAGACAATTATAAAGATAATATAAAGGTTTTTCGCATTATTACTCCAGTTATTGGTTTCGCGTGAGACTTCAGAAATCTTAATATGCTGATTTCCTGCTTATGAAACATTTCATATTATTATCAATAATGAAAATGACTATTCTGGGTCTATATATTCTTGTTGAAACAGCGATATAGTTTATTACTCGTTCTTTCTGATTGATACAAAATTCAAAATGAAGATTTTTGTAACATAATAAAAGTTTCTCTTTTACTTTCTAATTTAATCAGCTTCAATGCAAAATCTTTGTGTAAAAGTATTAATTCATAAAAATAAAAAATTTAAATAAAAGGCGACACAGTGGCGCAGTAGGTAGTGCTGTCGCCTCACAGCAAGAAGGTCGCTGGCTCCAGCCTCGGCTGTTCAGTTGACGTTTCTGTGTGGAGTTTGCATGTTCTCCCTGCGTTCGCGTGGGTTTCCTCCGGGTGCTCCGGTTTCCCCCACAGTCCAAAGACATGCGGTACAGGTGAATTGGGTAGTCTAAATTGTCCATAGCGTATGTATGTGTGTGAATGAGTGTGTATGGGTTTCCCAGTGATCGGCATCCGCTGCGTAAAACATGCTGGATAAGTTGCCGGTTCATTCCGCTGTGGCAACTTCAGATTAATAAGGGGACTAAGCCGAAAAGAAAATGAATGAATAAATGAATTAAATAAAAATCTCACTGACCTGAAGCTGCAGTGTATCTGTTAAAAGTTTTTATTTGTTAATATTATTATTATTATTATTATTATTTTATTATTATTTTATTTAATTTTTTGCTTTACAAGTTTGGTTACTATGCTGATATAAAATGTCATATATAAAAATATATATATATATATATATCAAAAGATATTTTGTATTATCTTTGTATTCAAAAAAGAAAAAAGCTTTGATAAAATTTTAAATAAAAAGAGTGTTAACATGTTAAAAAGCTCTGTGTTTTTGTCAGCAGTGTGAAAATGACACAACATCAAAGCTGAACAAAACACTCCAATAAGTGTGTGTGCATTGTATTGGATTGTTTCAGCTGAGCTGCAGTTCTGACTTTGGCCACTGGAGAGCAGAATTCAATCAATAAAGCCATAAACTCCAGTCTAGTGCATTTACTGCTCTTAAACAGCCACTGAAGGTCTTAATTGAACATCTCTTAATATCTGAAGCTTAAATTAACCTTGTCATTTGTCTTCCCAGGATGCACTCTGTTTTTCTACGAGACGGATGGCCGCTCGGGCATTGATCATAACAGCGTCCCGAAACACGCCGTGTGGGCAGAGAACAGCATTGTCCAGGCCGTCCCAGAACACCCCAAAAAAGATTTTGTTTTCTGCCTGAGCAACTCCCTCGGAGACTCCTTCCTCTTTCAGGTCATTAAACTTCCTGTTTGTTTATTGAAACTAAACATAATCTATACTATTCTCACTGTTCTGAATGCTGTAGTAGCATGCATACTTAGTGCATATTACACTTCATAATCATTACTATTTGTTCCTAATCTACACTGCAAATAAAATAGTTTAGCAGTTGACATGAGAACATGCAAACTCCACATAGAAATGCCAACTGATCCAGGCGGGACTCGAACTAGACACTGTGAGGCGACAGTGCTAACCACTGAGCCACCGTGTCGCCCTTACTGTAGGTATACCAAGCATAAACAGTGAGAGTAGAATATGAATGTGTGTGTTTTCTCCTCTTGTCTGCAGACGTGCAGTCAGACCGAGCTTGAAAACTGGATCACAGGGATTCACTCGGCCTGCGCTGCGGCCGTCGCTCGACAGCATCATCGGGAAGACACCGTGCGTCTGCTGCGCGCCGAGATCCGAAAGCTGGAGCAGAAGATCGACATGGACGAGAAGATGAAGAAAATGGGGGACATGCAGCTCTCTGCTGTCACCGATGCCAAGAAGAGGAAGACCATACTGGAGCAGGTGATTGAGCTTATGTGTTCGCTATATGTTTGTGTCTGAATTACCCACAATTCAGTGTGTTCAGAATCAGATCTTTGCTGAATTGCTGAACTTGAAATATGTTACCCACTCATTTTTTTTTTATTATTACAAGTATTTTATACAAAATTAAATATAAAAAAATTATTTAATTATTTATTTGTTTGAAACTAAATAAAAATATAATAAAGGTAACATATCACTTTGTTTAATACTTTATAATGTAGTCAATGTTGATGACTATATTAATATGAACAATGAAGAATCCATTTATTGCAGCATTAATGAATCTTTCTCAACATTTGTAAATGGAAATAAAGTCATTCATTGTTGGTTCTTTTTAATTCACAGCTCATTAACTAATGTTGACATGCACACTTTTGGATTTTGATTATTTATTAGTAAATATTGATGTATTAATAAATCATGATCAGGTATTCCTAATTCTTAGTTTGTGATTGCAAATATATTAACTAACATTAATTAATTAAACATTTTTGTAAAGAGTGACCATAATATAATATAATATAATATAATATAATATAATATAATATAATATAATATAATATAATATAATATAATAAAAATATCATATAATATAATATATTAAAATATCATATAATGAAATATCATATAATATCATATCATAAAATAGAATAAAAAATAATATAATAAAATATAATTATATAATATAATAAAATAAAATAGAATAGAATAAAATCTAACATAATATCATCTCATAAAATATAATAACAAATTATATAATATAATATAATATAATATAATATAATATAACATAATAAAATATAATATAACATAATATAATATAATATATTATAATATAATATAATATAACATAATATAATATAATATAATATAATATAATATAATATAATATAATATCATAAAAAATAATAAAAAATAATAAAATAAAATATATAATATAATATAATATAATATAATATAATATAATATAATACAATATAATATAATATAATATGATAAAATATAATATAATAAAAAATAATATAATAAAATATAATATCATATAATATAATAAAATATCATATCATATCATATAATAAAATAAAATATAATACAATAAAATAAAATATATAATATAGTATAATATATATAATAAAACATAAAATATATTATAACATAACAGTTTATTATAGTTTGATAACATTCTATGCTTAGACCGCTGGAAAATGAAACATTACTCTTTTTCTAGGCAAATATTGCTAGGATCTATAGGCTATATGCACAGCAAGTGTTTTTTTTCCTATTGATAAACTTCTGGTGAAAGCTTAATGTGACTATTTTCAATTTTATGAGGTTCCTTTTACATCATTAATGTTGTAATGTAATTAAAATATAATCCGTTAAGTAGACTTAAGCATTCATTTAGTTGCTCAAGTGTAAAGCAAGATGAAAAGCCATTAATATGCTAGATATGTCAATAGCAGCAGGCTAGCACAGAAACTCCATTGAAAATACTGTGGTAAAATAAATGTTCATAATTTAAAGACATGGCAAGGGGGATGTAGTGCTTCCTGTCCGGTCTGAGGCCCACTTTATATTGTATATCAATCAGGCAGTGGAGATTTTTAAAGAAAACTTTAAACGCAGCTATTCCAGTATGCTCGGTCATTCTGTTAGAATGGGAAATATTAAATTCTCCAAAATTGCTTGCCAAGATTACGATTCAATTTCATATTAGGAAACAACTGTAAAATGAAACAACAACTGTGTCTTTAGTTTCAACATTTTAGTCACTCAAAATTCCCATCTGGTCTAGGCCCCTCCCCTGGAGAATTGTCAGTCTATAGCGATTGCCGATTGGCCCCTGTATTAGAAGGCTGGGCTTCTTTTGCCACATTGACCGTTACACTTTTCTCCATTTACTGTATCCTACAGTCTTTGAAATACCTTATACTCTCATTTTGGCGTGACAGCCAAGAAACCCTGCGGCTGTATTACATGTACATATTGCATACAATATAAGAGTGTGATTTTGAATGAGTGAGATTTGTGGGTGGCCTTAAAGAGAAAGAAGAGACAGACTAAAGATCTGGTTAGCGCAAGAAGTGTTGGTTGTACACAGAGTCTGTCAGTGCTGTTTTGTTTCCCGTAATTATTATATCAACACCATCATCTGTACATGCGCGCTCTTCACCTTATCATCTGCACGCTGTCAAAATGTTGACAGAACTTTGATTCTCTTCGCTGCAGAAGTTCATGCTCTCCTCAATGGATGTTTACGCAAGAAGCAGAGCTCCGACTGGCCCCGGGCCCATCAGGAGGAGGGTTAGCGGGTGTGCGTTTGTGTGGGTATTTTAGTTTGGCAGCGTCGGGTTACGCTTTGAGGCCTGGTGAATGGCAGCCGGGTGGAGTTTGCTGCCAGTGGAATGTGTGGCGCTGTTGTTTGCTGCTCTGTGTGTTGCTTGGACCGTTGCCCTCTCCCAAAAAAACATCCATCCCAGAGTGGCTGGGAGGAGACGGCGGGGTGTATAAACCCACTCTATTGCCCTCCAAAAAACTCCACTTTATTAAACGACTAGTTCTAGCCAGACTAAAAGACAAGATTTCTTGCTGAATGCAATGCTGTGAGTGTTTCGTGTGTATTTCTACACTGATAAAAATGATTAGTTGGATTTACTGGATTTTTTTAAGGTGAGTGGTTGCAGATCATTTATATGGGCTGAATTTAAACGAGCAAATGAAGTTGAACATAACTTAAATTGAATTAGTTTGTTTAAATTCAGCCCATATCAATTGTTTTGGACGAAGATATTTTTGTTTCAGTGTAGCCTGCTCTACTAACCAGTACCTCTGTCTTTTTTATATCTCTCCAGATCTTCCTATGGGAGCAGAATTTAGAGCAGTTCCACATGGATTTGTTCCGTTTCCGCTGTTACCTGTCCAGCCTGCAGGGCGGCGAGCTTCCCAACCCCAAACGCCTGCTGGCCTTCGCCTCCCGCCCCACCAAACTGGCCATGGGGCGACTTGGCATCTTTTCGGTTTCATCCTTTCATGCACTGGTAATTATTTCCATCATTTAATTCCCTGGTAAACACATTGATCAGTAGTTTTGGTAATACTGAATCTTCTTTTTCTTTAAAAGGGAATGAAAACCTATTTTCTCTGTAATCATAAAACATCTGGGGCCTCATGTATCAATGCTGCGTACGCACAAAAACTTTGCGTACGCCAGGTTTCACGCTTAGAATCGCAAACGTTTGGATTTACTAACAATGAACTGAACGTGGGAATGTGCGCAGCTTCACGGCAGCTTTCTGGCATGCGTACGCACATTTTTTGTGCGTGTCTGTTTTATTTCCATTGGCGACTCCTAGAGGCAGTTGTGTTAAATTCCTCTCTACAAAGTGTCTGATCCTTGCAATGGCAGCTGTATGAGACGGGTTCAGCAGGTATATAAGGTTTCCATACCATACATTTGACCAGCTAAACATTAAAGCACAATTTGCAGCAGTCGCCTGTTTTCCCAATGTAATCTGACCTATCTACTGCTCACACATTGCTATAAAGACACTATCTGAAGATGAATTTGCATGCGTGAATCAGAAACATTTCCATTCAATAAATGTGCAAATAAAATATGATGCTTATTGATATGAACTTATTGATGATTCCTACTTGTCTTTCTCGTGATAAATAGTTGGCAAATCTGATATGTAGCGGGGAAAAAACAAGAAAGAGTTCATCAGACGCTGAAATCGAGACGAGTTCATGCTCGAACGTATCAATTCATGATCACATGCGTCTTACGAGCGCGCCACTGAGACTGTTAAGCGTACTGCAACATTTTACAGATATAAACCACGATAATTCTTTTTTTTAATGCACTCAGTGTGATATGTTCAGACCCAACTGTATTGACCGCATCAGCTAAACTCTCCCACTCTATTTTTTTCTATTGTTATTAATTCCGGAGAACAAACTTGCAAATAACACCGCTTTCCTCCGGTCTACCTCCGAAAGGAGCACCTCCAATTCACATTCTGTTCAAAGTTTCTCTATTTGCTTGCTTTTGCCATTGCTTTTTCGTTGGTTTTTGTCATTAGCATAGTCATTAGCATATTCATACGTGGGAGGAGGCAGGGAGGAGTTTTGTGCTCGTGCATGTTGCGCTCAGTTTCACGTTCATTCAGATGTACAAAAGAATATGCGTGAGATTCGGCGTACGCAGTGTTTCATACATCTGAATTTTTTACTGCGTACGCACATTTACAGCTTTGTGCGTACGCAATGTTTTAGTAAGATTTCCACGCAAGTCTTCGTACATGAGGCCCCTGGCGCTTTATTTTAACAATCTAGGCGCAAAGTTTAAAGTGCATGGTGCAAAAGCATTAAGGGGCGTGTTTGAATCCACATTTGCTTTTAGGATTTCACAAATTTGTCTCAGATGAAAAAATCGTGGCTGAAATCTCAGGAGATTTGAAACTTGAAAACTGCTCTTTAAGGGTTAAACAAGAGACTTTGATATTTTTAAAATGTTTAGTATATAACATATTGTTTAGCGTAGCACAATTTTTGGTATATAGCATATTTCCAAGCAATATCATCGCTCTGAAAGCAGCATCAGCATTGCTCTATTTTCCTTTTCACCCACACCGCATTTATTAACCTGGTTCCCTCCCACCTGTCAGTGTTGTTGTATACGTGTAATGGATTTTGGCATCAAAAGAAACAGCACTTGAAGGATTGCTCTGTGTATTTTCTCTTGGATTTGGGCCAAGGCTCCAGCTAATCAATACCATCCATCCCCAGCTTCGCCTCCAGTCCTGGCGCTCTTCTTTTTGTTGGAGCTGGAGGACCATAGGATACGGGCAGATTTTATTTTTGTCCTTTGCATCTTGGATGAATTTTTGGTTTCTGGTGGAGGGGGAGTGGATATTCTTCAGCATTTCGAGAGGATGGAGAAGTGAGTCCAAAAGAAGTGCTGTTGGCCTGTATAGCTGTTCTCCAGGAATAGTAGCTGGGTTTTGTTGCTGGTTATTAATTGGTCGGTTATTAAAGAAATTCTAAACTAACAACAAAACATGTAACATGGTGACCAACCTGCACTGATAAAGACTAGTTTATACCAGCTCATAACCAAGTTTGACCAACCAATGATGAGTTTAGTTTTTGTGACTACCAATAATGAGACTTGCTGGCATCCTTAATATGTTTTGGACCAGATTATGTCCAATTAAGACCAGCTAATAGACTTTTAGACTTGCTAATGATCTAAGTTTAGGCCAGTTTAAACCAGATTATGAAATGTTTAGACCAGCTAATGACCTGATAGTTAAGACCATGACAACATTGTCATTTTTAGACTAGTTTAGACTTGCTAATGTCAATTTTAGACCAACTAATGACCAGTTTAGTCCTTGTAATTACCTCCTGATTATGGTTTGGTCCAGATTATGACCAATTTAGACTATAGGTAATGACCAAACTTGCTCATGGCCAATTAAGTTAATCTCACGAACAGCTAATAGCCCTTTAAGATTAGCTAATGACCAGTTTAGATTACCTACTGACTGATTTAGACCAGATTATGACATGTTTAGACCAACTGAAAGCCCTTTTAGACTTGCTAATAAACAGTTCAGATTACCTACTGACTAGTTTAGACCATATAATGACGTGTTTAGACCAGCTAATGACCCAATAAGTAACAGGTCATGACAACTTTAGACAAGTTTACCAGCTAATAGATAATTTAGATGTGTGAATAACTAGTTTAGACTAGCTAATGACAAGTTTAGACAACTAATGACCCGTTTGGTCCTTGTAATTACCTGTCTAGAGACTATCTGACATCCTGATAATTGTTTGGGCCAGATTATGACCAATTTAGACTATAGCTAATCACCAAACTTGCCCATGGCCAATTTAGTCCAGTTTATGACTAGTTTAGATTAGCTAATGGCCCCTTTAGACTTGCTAATTTACATTTACATTTAGTCATTTAGCAGACGCTTTTATCCAAAGCGACTTACAAATGAGGACAAGGAAGCAATTTACACAACTAAGAGCAACAATGAATAAGTACTAAAGGCAAGTTTCAGGTCTGTAAAGTCTAAGAAGGGAAGTATTAGTAGTATTTTTTTTTTTTTGTACAGTTAGTGTGATATTCAAAGAGGCAATTGCAGATTAGGAAGTGAAGTGGAGACTAAATGACTACCTAGATTATTTACTGATGGGTTTAGACCAGATTATGACATGTCTAGACCCTTTTAGGCTTGCTAATAACCAGTGTAGATTACCTACTGACTGGTTTCAACCAGATTGACATGTTTAGATCATCTAAAAGCCCTTTTTGACTAGCTAATGACCGATTAGATTACCTACTGACTGGTTTAAACCAGATTACAACATGTTTAGACCAGCTAATGACCTAATAAATAGCATGTCATGACCGCTTTAGACTAGATTACCTACTAATGGGAAACTTAGATGTGCGAATAACTAGTTTAGACTAGCTAATAACAAGTTTAATCCAACTAATGACCAGGTTAGTCCATGTAATTATTTATTGAGGCTATCTGACTTCCAGATTTTGGTTTGGACCAGATTGTGACCAATTTAGACTATAGCTAATGTCTAAACTTGCCCATTTAGTTCAGATAATGACATGTGTAGAACAGCTAATAGCCCCTTTAGACTTCCTAATGACCAGTTTAAATTACCCACTGACAGGTTTAGACCAGATTATGACATGTTTAGACCAGCTAATGACTTTAAAAATAACAAGTTATGACCAATTTAAACCAGTTTACCAGCTAATGACAAATTTAGGTGTCCGCATAGCTAGTTTAGACTAGCCAATGACAAGTTTAGACCAGCTAGTAACCAATTTAGACAAGCTTATTTAGAATTAAGTTTAATATTATTTGTACAAATTTTCAACTAGTTTGGCTAACAATTATCTTGCAATGCTAAACCAGGTTATGGCATGCTTAGACCAGCTAATGACCAGTTTTACAGCTAACAACCAATTTAGATGTCTGGAAAACTAGTTTAGACTGGCTAATGACAAGTTTAGACCGGCTTAGTAACCCCTTTAGACAAGCTTAATTTGGATTAAGACCAGTATAGTTTGTGTAATCAAAAGTTTTCAATTATTTTGCTAGTTAGCAATTAGTTTGCAGTGCTAAAAGCAGATTATGACATGTTTAGATTAGGTAATGACATAATAAATAACAGATCATGATCGCTTTAGACCAGTTTACCAGCTAATGACTAATTTAGATGTCAGCTAATGACAGGTTTAGACCAGCTAGTAACCAATTTAGACAAGCTTATTTTTAATTAAGACCAGTATAGTTCATGTAACCACAAGTTTTCAACTAATTTGGCTAACAGTTAAATTGCAATGTTAATGGTAGTATGTACAAAACCCTTTTAGACCTACTGGAGGACCATAGGATACAATCAGATTTCATTTTTCGTCATTCCAGCTTGGATGAATTTTTTGTTCGGGTGGAGGGGGAGTGGATGTTCTTCCATATTCATCGTGAGAGGATGGAGAGAGAGAGAGAGAGAGGATAAGTGTCGAGTCCAAATGAAGTGCTGTTGGCCTGTATTGCTGTTCTCCAGGAATAATAGCTGGGTTCAGAGCACTGGAGAGGGTTTTTTGATGCATCCGGAGTGCTTTTCTCCATCAGGAGACCCAGAAATGCCACAGCGCGTTCGGCACAACGAGCGTGTATAATTTTTAAATGACACTAAAAAGAACTCGCCAAACACTTCACTAACCTTTAAAATATTCAGCTGGACTTGAGTGACCACAGGACGTGGGTTATTTTTTGTGTGTGTTTGTGCTGCTTGTTTGTGAATGAATATGCAAATGTATTAGTTCTAAAGGTGACTTTGCACTGTCCTGCTTCATTTTGGTAGGGAAAGTCACATTCGCACACAGCAGTATAATGCAGTTCATGATAAAACTTTACACAGGAAAATGTGCTCGTGATATGCAGGAGAACTCCTTATATGCATTCATAATTAGTGACATTTAAGATTTGCAAACTTTTGTTCCTTAAAAGAAAAAAAAAAGAGTCATTGTGCTAAAAATCAATAGAAAGCTGCTGTCCCACTTAGAAATGTGATGCATTGAAATACACTCACCGGCCACTTAGTACACCTTACTAGTACCAGGTTGGACCCACTTTTGCCTTCAGTACTACCTTAATCCCTTGTGGCATAGATTTAACAAGGTACTAGAAATATTCCTCAGAGATTTTGGTCTATATTGACATGATAGCATCACACAGTTGCTGCAGATTTGTCGGCTGCACATCCATGATGCGAATTTCCCGTTCCACCACATCCCAAAGGTGCTATATTGTATTGAGGTCTGGTGACTGTGGAGGCCATTTGAGTACAGTGAACTCATTATCATGGTCAAGAAACCAGTCTGAGATGATTCACGCTTTATGACATGGTGTGTTATCCTGCGGGAAGTAGCCATCAGAAGATGGGTACACTGTGGTCATAAAGGGATGTTCAGCCACAATTCTCAGTTAGGCTCTGGCGTTGACGATGCTCAATTGGTACTAATGGGCCCAAAGTGTGCCAAAAAAAAATTCCCAACACCATTACACCACCACCACCAGCCTGAATCGTTGAAACAAGGCAGGATGGATCTATGCTTTCAAGTTGTTGATGCCAAATTCTGACCCCACCATCCGAATGTTGCAGCAGAAATGGAGACTCATTAGACCAGGCAGCGTTTTTCCAATCTTCTATTGTCCAATTTTGGTGAGCCTGTGTAAATTGCAGCCTCAGTTTCCTGTTCTTAGCTGACAGGAGTGGCGAGTGGTTATTTTGAATTAATTTATATTTACTGTCGCCTTTCTATCAGCTGGAACCAGTCTGGCCATTCTCCTCTGACCTCTGACATCAACAAGGCATTTGCATCCAAAGAACTGCCGCTCACTGGATATTTTCTCTTTTTCGGTCTATTCTCTGTAAACCCTAGAGATTGTTGTGCGTGAAAATGCCAGTAGATCAGCAATTTCTGAAGTACCCAGCCCAGCCTGTCTTAGACCAGCTAATGACTAGTTTGGACTAGCTAATAACTAGTAACTAACAGATCATGACCACTTTAAACCAGTTTATGATCAGCTTACTCCAGTAGTTTAATTATTTAAATAATAGCAAATAACTAATTCAGACAAGCTAGCAACCAGTTTAGACCAGCTAATGATCAATTTAGACATGCCTAGTTTAGGTTAAGACCTGTATAGACTGCATAATCAGAAGTTGTCAACTTGTTCATAACCAGTTTAAATTAGCTAACAGTTAGCTTGCATTGCTAATGGCAGCAAATACTAGCTCATAACCCATTTAATCCAACTCATGATCAGTTTAAACTGTTTTCTAACTGATTTAGACTATATTTAAACAAATGTAGACCAGTTTTATTTAGCTAATGACTAGTTCATATCAGCTAATATGCCAACTAGCATCCCATTTAGCTAATGATCAATTTAGACATGCCTATTTTAGGTTCAGACTTGTATAGACTGCATAATCAGAAGTTGTCAACTAGTTCATAACCCGTTTAGATTGGCTAACAGTTAGTTTGCATTGTTAATTGCAGGAAAAACTAGCCCATAACCCATTTAATTCAGCCCTTGACCAGTTGAAACTGTTTTATAACTGGTTTAGATTATATTTAAATGAATGTTGATCAGTTTTAAATAGCTAATGACCAGTTCATATCAGCTAATATGCCAACTAGCATCGCATTTAGGTAAGGATCAATTTAGACATGCCTATTTTAGGTTAAGACCTGTATAATCAGAAGTTGTCAACTAGTTTATAACCAGTTTAAATTGGCTAACAGTTAGCTTGCATTGCTAATTGCAGAAAATACCAGGCCATTAGCCATTTACTTTAACTCATGACTAGTTTAAACTGTTCTATAACTAGTTTAGACTATATTTAAATGAATGTAGATCAGTTTAATTAGCTAATAACCAGTTCATATCAGCTAAAATTCCATTTAGCTATTGCCCAGATAAGCTAATTATTACAGTTCACACCAGCTTATGACTCAGCTAACGAGCAGTTAAGGACAACATTGCATGTCTAGTGACCTGTTTTGACAGCTAATGACTAATTTATGTTCTTAGATCTTCAAACAAGTTTGTGTGAATGAGGCTTAAGATTGAATATTAGTATGACTGAATCAATGAGAATGAGTTTTTTTTGTTCTGGCGGGTGTGTTGATATCTCAGCCTCCCGCTATGAGCCGTCTAGTCAGTTTGATCGGCGTGACAAACAGCATGAATGTGTTTTCTGTACCTCATGCAGATGTTTTGTGTCTGTAGGTGGCAGCTCGCACTGAGAGCGGCGTGAGGCGGCGGACGCAGGCCATGTCACGCTCAACCAGCAAACGCAAGAGTCGCTTCTCCTCACTATGGGGTCTGGACACCCACTCCAAGAGAAAGAGTAAAGGTCATCCCAGTATTGACCAGGTAAAGCACACACACATACAGTTGAAGTCACAATTGTTAGCCCTGCTTTTTGTTCAGATATTTCCCAAATGATGTTTAACCGAGCAAGGAATTTTTCGCAGTTTTTCTTATAATATTTTTTCTTCTTGAGAAAGTCATTTGTTTTATTTTGGCAAGTTTTTATTTTTTTTAAAGCCACTTTAGGGTCAATATTATTAGCCCAGAATAAACCAGATATACAATGACTTGCCTTATTACCCTAATTTTATGGCCTTACTTGACAATAAAATGCATATTTATTTACATGCCGTTCCAAAAATCCTACAAAATGATATTAAACGTTATATTTAATTTAAAGTATAACACATACAAAACAGCAATTGCAATATGATCCTTATATACGGTTAAAGTCAAACTTATTATCCCAGATATATCCCTATTCATATTACTAGATAATAATCAGAAAATATTTAAATACCAAACAATATATGAACTGTAAAGCTTAAATTCCTTTTTATTAGAGATGTCCTGATCAGTTTTTTGGCAGACAATGGCAAGTTTAAATATCTCACAGCTTGCTATGGCAATGTTGTCATCATCAGCTTTATAAAACCTCCAGACCGCAGAAATACTCGCGCTTTCCACTTCAAGCTGCTTCCGTGTTCTACTTTGGCGGCATTTAACCAATAGCGTCTCTGCAAAAAAAGTGATGTCATGCCACACACGTTGCTGTTTCTGTGTGAAGTCAAGAAAGAGGTCTAACTCGGTGCCACCGCATAACTATAGATGTGTTAAAAAATAATAAGAATATATATATATACACATATATTCGAGTCCTGATTGGGAGGTAACGTCTGATTCCGATTGAGTCTGAAACCTCGTAATTGGGCTCAATTTTGGATCTGGACATCCCTTTTTATGAGTAGTAATAAATAAATGTGTAAATATTGCTGAAGTGTGTTTGCTCAATGTCAACAATATATAAGAAATTATTTAATAATTTACCTTTCTATTAGTGATAATAACAACATAGGCTTATTGTGAAAATGTACCCCAATATACATTTCTGGAGATTGCAAACTATGTATTCAGAAGTACATATGGCTGCATTTCGTCTTTAAAATGAATGCTACAGGGTGGTATGAGGCCGTTCCTTTTCACACTTACCAGCTGACTTCTTACCTCCATATAGACAGCTTTCCTGCTGGTATTAGTGTGTCCAGTGCATGTACTGTACGTCAGCGCACTTGAGATTCAGAGAGGTGTTGACCCTAAATGCTGAATTCAAAGAACCGTTCTAGAAAGAGAAAGACAAAAACAGAAGTCAAAACATAAAATAAACAAGCAAATAACTGGGTGAGAATGTGGTAAAATAGGAAAACGTGGTAAAAATCAGGTACTCAGGCTTTTTTTCTGGATAGCTTTTTAAAACCGTTTGTTGGGTTTAGGGATGTAGGTGGATGGGTGCTTTTGAAAACAGGAGGTGGGTGGGTCAGTCGATCGGTCAGTTAAATAGTCAGTCAACAGCAGCCTCTTGTGGATTTAGTTGAAAAGAGCAGGTGTGAATGGCACTTACAAGAGAAAATTGAGATTTCAAAAAGCGTACACAGAGGCCTCTGGTGAATTCACGAAAACAAAGACTGAAAAAAACGTATCTCCTGGGACATATTTGGCATTCTCCTGAAATGTATATAGCGGCATGTTTTCAGAATGAGCCTGGGTTGGATAATAACTGTAATATTAATATACTGTGTACTTATTTTCCTTTGTCAAATATTCTGTGTATACTAGACAAAAATTGTTAAACAAAGTCTAATTAAGACTCTTATGGTAGAATGTAATCTTTTGCATTACTGTCAAAATAAAAGTCCTCACGCTGTCAACATAAAATCCAAATTTGCTATGTTTATTTTTCTTGCGCACATTATTAGTCTTAAGGACAACTATTAATTCATGCAAGTTATGAAGTGTTTTTTTGGTAATCTTTTATCAAAATTTGACCATTTGCTTCTGCTTTGGGAAGGCAGACCTTGTTTGATGATATCAGGTTTTTGGCTTGGGTTAATTATGCGCCCCTTCAACCGTTAGTTTGCTGCAAGTGAATGAGAAGCACAAAAAGAAAGTTAAAAATACATCATCATAACGAAATCAAATTCAGATCGACCTTCTTTTTTATACTTCTAAAAAGCCAAATATCAGCAGATATATTAAATGCAACAGCTAAAATGCCTGTGGATCAACAAATCTTGCTAGCAGCATCCCACGCAGAGGACTGGCATCAAAAACACAGCATGTGATGATTAGCATCTATGGCACTTTTCAGCATGACAATAAATCGCGAGCCACACTAAATGCTGATTTATCAGGTTGCATTTGTCTTGCTGTGGATATATTAGTGATAATAAATATACATTTTATTTATGATGCACTTTCCTTTAACTCAAAGCGCTACAAGATATATAGAACAACAAGTAAAAATGCAGAATTACAAGCTTGCATAAAATCCAGAGGTCATTATAAATAAAACAATACAAATATAAATGTAAACAGAAGAATAAATATGTAAAAAGATTGCCAACTGCATGCAAATGACGGTGATAATCATAACTGGAACGTAGCAATGAATGATTGTTTCTTTTTGAAAAGGTCTTTGCAGAAGGAGATGATCCAGTTAAAAGTCCTCTAGAAGGCATGTTTGAGGGTTCTTCCAGTGAAACAATGGTAAGAAACTTGCATCTGAAAACTTAACCTTCATACTATATAGTAGGGTTGCACAGTTTACTGGTACTATGGTAGTATCGCGATACTATGGCTCCAAAATACTGGCAGTGCCACTGTAGTTTGTAAATGGTAGTATCATCATTAATGGTTCATCTACAATAGATAATGTTGCATGTGGAAAAGTCACTAAAATCCTCACACGTTTGTGCAACAATAGATTATTTTAATTTAATAGTCTGTGGAGATTTCCCAGAGATGGGTTGCGGCTGGAAGGGCATCCGCTGCGTAAAAACGTGTTGGATAAGTTGGCGGTTCATTCCGCTGTGGCGACCCCTGATTAATAAAGCCGAAAAGAAAATGAATGAATGAGTCAGTGGAGTCCTTTAAGGTTGCAAAACTGTGTGGAATTCACACCTTTTATTGTAGCCTACTGCACGTTTCCTAACGCTTCAGTTCAAACCACATCTGAATCGATTTATTTCTATTCCTGGTAATATGATTTAGTAGCTACAACAACTGCGATGATCACTTTAAAAGAACGACTCACAAAGTTAAATTTTTGATTACTTTGGATTGTTACCTGATAAGACTGAAAAAGAAAAGGTTGAAAAACTCAAAATAGCAACATGAAACATTGTAACAATCTTAGACCACTTCATAATGCCTAATTTTGTTGGGAAAATGCTCTTTTGTAACAAATTTCATTTGGTATAATTTGTACCTTTATTTTTTTGCTGGTCAGTTATCAAAATAAACAAAAATTGAATAGATTTTAGGTAAAGTGATATGTGTGCGTGTGTGTGTGTGTGTGTATGTGTGAGTATGTGTGTGTGTGTGTGTATGTATATATGTATGTATGTGTATATAAATATATATATATATATATATATATATATATATATATATATATATATATATATATATATATATATATATATATATATATATATTAGGGATGTAACGGTATCAGAATTTCACGGTACGGTAATACCTCGGTATGAATGTCACGGTACGGTATTTATTGAATCATTTACAGGAAAAAACAAAACTTATGAAAATACTCCAAAAAAGTGCCAAAAGTGTCAATGACAAACAAATTAGCCATCTATCTGTAAGCTTTGAAACAGGAACTTCAATTTTAATAACAAAAAAATATTAAACCATGTAAAAAAATCAAGTTTCAATTTAGTATTGTTGAAAACTCATCACATTCAACATTTAATCACTCACTCACTCACTTAGGTAGAGATGGGTTTAAAGGAAAATTATCATATAACTATAATCTGGTAAAAGCTGGTATCTCTGGGCATTTACAATGTCCCCTGCAACAGAAAAAAAACCTCTCATTTGGGACTGAGGTTTCTGGGACAAGAGAGATATGACATGGCCCAGGTTGACAGCAGTGGGTAACGTTGTGCATTGTCTTTCCCCCACTTGAGAGGACAAACCATGAGTGAGATAGAGGGCTCATGTCTGCATCAATCTGAACAGTGTGCTGTGTTTCTGCAGTCCCCATGACGTTATTAGTCGTATTCCCCAACTTGCAGGCACGTGCACACACAGGGCTCAACCTGTGCAGTGCACATGCCCTTTTTAGTCTTGGATAGAAAGTGCCCTTCCAAAATGATCAAAAGTGCCCCCGCGACGCGACATACCCTCCGTCCCCGCTTTACAGTACGCGCGCGACAACACAGCTGATCAGAACGCGCGCAACAACACAGCTGATCAGAACGCGCGCGACAACACAGCTGATAAGAACTCGCGCGACAACACCGCTATTCAGTACGCGCGCGGCGACAACACCCGCTTTAGGGTTTTCCAGCTCTTTTTCATCCCCGCTTCTAGCAGCACACTCTATTTCCGCATTACTGGATCTGTAGTGACAACAGACCGCAAGGGATTATGGCCAAGCCTGGGCTGATTTGAATTGTAGTTTCCGGTACCTCCCGTTCGCTTCATTCGCCTGAGCAAATTTTCTCAGAAGACCTATAGTTTTACAGAGTCATGCGACTACGGTAATATCGAAAAAAATTAATATTGCGGTATGACGGTATTTACAATACTGTTACATCCCTAATATATATATATATATATATATATATATATATATATATATATATATATATATATATATATATATATATATATATATATATATATATATATTTTAGTGAGATAGAGAGAACACACGCAAGCAGCGGTAGATTTTTTACACTTTGCCCCGGAGGGTGATTTATTTACAAGAGTGCTGAGAGTGTAGGGCGGAGCGATCGCTCGGACTCCTGGCCGGGAAGAGTGTAGAGGTTCCGGGGTAAAGGGTGAGGCCGTGCAGGTAGGAGAGAGAGTGGAGATGGTCAGCTGCTTGAGCCCGCTGTGGGAGAAAAGAGACACAGATATCAGCCAGGGAGTCATTTGAGTAAAAATGAAGCTCACAGTCTCTGGGTTGGTCGCGGCTTATATCCATGTCTCTTGGTGGGTCTCAGCTGTGTTTGATTAGGGTTGATGATGAGGGAATTGATGTGGATCCGGGACCACGGTGACGTTGCATCGGTGGACTCGCCACATTATATATATATATATAAAATACTTTTTTTGCCTCAAGGGAATTATGACTTAAATTCAAGTAGGCCTATTATAACATAAAATATAGCATTTCAGAATTTTTTTTTTTTATCATTTGAGTTAAGAATTACAGTATTGGAATACTACTTGGTATCTTGATACTTCAGCTGGTATAGTATCGTAAAAAAAAATGTATGGTTTCGCGACAACCCAACTATGTAGTATTCTAAAATCAGCATGTGAGCTGAGTAGTATGTCCGAATTCTTAAAAATTGAAAATCAGTATGCGAGAAGAGACCTACTACTTCTGACGATATTCTTAAGTGCGCATTTAATGGACGCTACACTATACCATGAATCACCATGAGATAATTCATGAATGGGAGTGAAGCGGGTAGGTCACATGATGATGACAAAATGGCGGATGTAGTACGTCCGAGTTCCGTTCATACTACTGACGTTGATGCTGTATAGAAGTCACTTTTCTAATGGTTGAGTATTACTTTTAAACACAAATGCATTACCTACTGAGTAGTAGGGGATTTCAGACGCAGCCATGGTATGAAACGGAATCAAAATGGCTAAAAATTCTGCAATTGTTACATTTGGAGCAGATTGAAGGTATAAAAGCACCATAAAAGTGGCAAAATCACACAAAATCCCTCTGCAGCAAATCAAAACGGGCCTATTCAGAGAGATCTGCCTTGGGCCGGATCTCTGGAGGAGGTTGGCAGAGGTGTGGGTGTATATTCATCACTGGCGTTGGCGGACATGTAGGCTTTCGCTCAGCCAGGCGGTGGATAGTTGTGCTATAATCCACTGACCTGCGCTGAAGAATATAGTGCTGATGTTCTGATTCACTCACTCAATCATGAGCAGAGAAAAAGAGATATGGGGAAATGTAGTTGAAACTATTCTAAAGTTTTGGCTTGGAAAGATTTTTAGTGATCTGAAAGAAGGATCAAGGATCCGTTTACTTGAAGACAAGTACAGCTACATCTCATTTCATATGCTGGTCATATTAGCATATACAGTGAACCAAAGATAGTCTGTGAGTTATTAGAAATAATGGGCTGAGCGCTAACATCATCATTACACATGATTAATAGCATCTCTACAGGCCTCGCTCACATCTGCGGCTTCTCTGTGCTTTCATTCATCACACTACAGAAAGACACCAAGACTCCAGTCAAAGGTCTGCCAAGACCGAATACAGATCACGACATCTGGTCCCGGGACCACCTCACTCCATCATGGGTGCTGCTGCCAAACGACCAGCCTGTGTTAGCCATCATCCAGCCCGGAGAGTCAGCCCTCGACATGCTGGAGACCATCTGCAAGGTAAAGTCAAGGAACAGGAGATTTTTTAAATCTGTTTTACTGATTCAGTGAAGAGAGTTACAGTAGGAAATATTTCAAGAGTTCTCACTTAGATATTTCTTGATAATATTAGCTTGTTTGGCATGCTGGCCTGGGAGAGAACCCTGAGCTCGGAGATAATTAAGCTCAGGGCTCCCGCCTGGTCGAAAAGCATGTAAGGGGGTAAGGAGATCAGGTAGCTCTCGAGAGCTCCACCTGGTAAAAGAGGAAAAGAGAGGAAGATGGGGTGGATAAGGGGTTTCTTCGGAAAACGGAAGATAAGGAGAAGTTTTAGACAGGCAACTTATAGTTAGTTTGGATTAATCTGATTGGCTTATTAAAGATTGCAGATGGGAGACCAGCTGCGATTATTCATATCACGTGCTCCTCTCGAAATTAAACTTCTTAAAGAAAGACATCACTAAGGTTTTTGCACATGGACTTTTAGGGATCTATTTTGACGGTCCATGCGCAGAGCGCAAAACGCAGGGCGCAAATGCTTTCAGGGCGTGTCAGGACGCGTTTTTGCTAATTTAAGGATGGGATATCTGCCTTGATCACAGAAAGCTGAACAGATCTTTTGATCCTGGTTGCTTTCTGCACGCCCTGTCTTGTTGATATGATTGCATGTGTTACTACTAGGACATGTTAATACACGTCTGTCAATCAAATTAGTGGGTGGGGATACCAAACTCCTACGTCACGTTGCAGTCGGCCTCAAAATGGGAGGGATTTGGATCCTATTTTATTCCTTTGTATTTTTATTTTTTCTTCCTGTCAGGAAATAAAAAAAGAGACTTATTTGGCTCTATTTTGATGGTCTATGCGCAGAGCGCAAAACGCTTTCAGGGCAGAACGCATTTTTGCTAATTTAAGGATGGGAAAATCCGCTTTGCGCCGTGGCGCATGGTCTAAAAGGGTTGAGTTTATTTTCTTAATGAGTTATAGGTGTGTTTTGAGAATAAACCAATCAGAGTCTCATCTCCCATTCCCTTTAAGAGTCAGCTGCGTTGCGCCAAGAGCGCATTCACTATTTACAGGACGCAAAGTAAGTCTAAGTGGAAAAGATGAGCATTTCACTAGCAAACAGTTAACAGATTTTTAACAGAAAACAGTTAAACAGAGCATCTACTGCGTGAGAATGAGAGATAATGGATCTACTTTCACATTCACTCTTGGATAGGGAAACCTTTATGCACAGACATCAATTAGTCTACAAATAAATACTTTTGTTTGTTAAGCGCAAATATTCGTTTCAAAACTATTTCTAAATTCAGTTCTAATTTCCAGCAAACGAATAAATGAACAATAATAATGAAGTGTGCTTAAAAACCTGAGTTATATCCTAAAACACATGCTGTGCCCCATATGGTCTAAAACCTGACAGGTGGACAAATCTAAGCTTGTTTTTAATAAAACAAATATAAATATGGATATAATAAATAATACTGCTAATAATAATAACATTATACAAAAGCAAATTGTAAAAGCAGTGGTTTTTCATATTTATATAGGCTAGAAAATAATATGTTTTGTAATATTTTAATCCTTTATATTTATATCCTATATCTATTCTTATTATATCCTATATATATCCTTAATATTTAATTTTTTTCATATGTAAAGATATTTGCCTATTGCTCTCTTGTGCGTATTAAGCAGTGTGTAAGCGAGGCACAACTCTGCGCTGGAGTTTAGACCGGGTTTGTTTTGGTCTAATGAAAAATCTATTATAGTTTCTCAAAATAGCAACGCGCCAGCAGTCCGCCTCAGAACGCCTTCCTTTTTAGAACAGAACGCCTATGGGCGCACATATGAGCGCTAATGCATTTGCTATTTAAACAGCGTAGTGCAACCCCTCAAAACAACTTTTGCGCCAAGCTGAAACTAGCAAAAGACTTTTGCGCCGCGCCTTGCGCCACACTGCGCCGGGTGTATGATAGGGCCCTTAATTTTTAACAGCCAGCCAGCCCAAGTGCTTCCAGTGAATTGTCTTTCCATAACAAAACAACCATGTTTAAAGGGCCATGAAACCCCCCACTTTCGGTTCAAGTCTACTACAGAATTTTTTCAAAAAAATGCATGAGAATGGCCTTGGAGCTCTGCGAGCAGATGCAGGAGTGGGCGTGGCCAGCAGAGCAGGGGAGAAGGAGGGGAGTGAACAACTGTTGTAAGTTGGCTTACAAAATGAGACACAAACTGTGAGGAGACGCATGATTTTAAAGTTTACAGAGTTAAAATGCAAAGAAATAAACAGTAATTTAATGCCCTGCTACATTTGTTATTCGTAATTTCATATAAACATAACCACAATTTATATCATTATAAAGATGATCGTGTTCATATAAACACAATAAATGAGAACTTCTCCATCAATCCCCAGGTCTGAATGCAGACTCAGTGCAGCAGGTCTCTTGCCCTGCCTATTTCAACCATTAGCCCTGCTGCTGGTAATCTGGAGGATTTAGGCGATCACAGCAGCAGGGAGATGTGTCTAAATGTGTCTAATTACGCTTGAACAACTAAATGAATGCTGAAGTCTATTTACCTGATTGTGTTTTAATTACATTACAACATTGATGCTGTAAAAAACCCTAAACAATAAAATTGAAAATAGTCACATAAACCTTTCACCAGAAGTTTATCGTCGAGTGGAAAACGCTAGCTGTGCATATAGACCACAAAATTAGCTCACAGTTTCTTCCTCTCTGAATCAAACAGTACAAATATAAATTCTTTCATCGAGAAGCAGGAGATTTTTAAAGCATACAGAGAGTTTTACATTCAGAGAGTGACTTCAGTCTTCAGAGGATTGAATATCAGCTTGAAGGTCAGCGCTGTATTAAACGCGCATGTTGTATTCCTCAAAGCGTCCCTGTGAGGGGTTTTAAAGAGTGCAGGCCGTATCCTTGTTTTACATTTTTTTATCATGGGCTAGACTTCTAGTTTAAGTAACTTCTAATAAAAACTGCTATAAATCATTTTAGATAATAAGATTGTGCTACAAAAATACCCATATACTCCTTGCATACATGGTTTTAGTTGTTTCTGTAGAATTGACTTTTACAACACCCATAAAACCAATGAATTATCTGCAAAGTCATCATTTTGCTCTATAAACTATAGCAAAAATTCAAAAACAAGACTAACATCCTATGCTAGGGCAGCACGGTGGCTCAGTGGTTAGCTCTGTTGCCTCACAGCAAAAAGGTTGCTTGTTCATTTCCCGGCTAGGCTAATTGTCATTCCTGTGATGAGTTTGCATTTGCTCCCCGTGTTGGCATGGGTTTGCTCTAGGTGCTCCGGTTTTCCCCACAAGTCCAAAGACATGCGCTATAGGGAAATTAGATGAACTAAATGGGCTGTAGTGCATGAGTGTGTGTGAATGCGATGGTGTATTGGTCGGACCCCCTAGTCTTTCGAGATTTAGCCATCCCTGAATCCAACGCAAAATCAACAAGTTTTTTTGCGATCCTTCTAACTTATTCATTAACCCAAAATAATCGCAAAAAACGTAAATAATCTCATAAAACATGCAATTCCAAACCATATAATCTAATTAAATTTATTTCAGCTGCCAATTCATTCTTTTACATGGCTTATAGACGTTGCATACGCAGCGCACGTGATGTATTGAGTGTCTCTCGATAAATGACGTCTCACCTGCGCCCTCACAAAATCACTGCATTACATGGAACTGGGTGTAAATTGTTTTGCAACCTGTGCAGTGAGCAGACGCGGATGAAGCATCAAGTGTGAGGGATTTACATGCGTCAATACAAAGATGCGAATAGACATCCTGTGTCGCAAATCGAGCCAATAACACGGCGCGAATTGGGCGTTTTGTGCGTTTGACGTACTTCAGACTGCAAAAAAGTGAGAGCAAACATCTAACAAACGGAGCAATGGAGCATACAGAAAAGCAAGCAGCTTACATTGACGGAGGTTGATTCAAGGATGACCGGCGCTGGACGTGACCAAATTGAAGGACATTATTTGTGCTTTATAAATATGGCTGGTAACTTATTATGATGTGTGTCAGCTGTATGCATGCTGTAATTTTGCTTAACTCCTTCCCTGGTGCTGACTAGAGAAAACGCTTCCCTGCCATTGACGAGTTTTACGGCAATCCGTGTTTTGGATATATTACGGTAGGGAAGCACTAACGCATGTCCTGAGTGAAGGAACATGATGTCAGATCATCCAGGAGTGAAATCTGAGAAAGAGAAAATAAGAAAATAAGATTGTGGATAAAAATAAGTTATACAACCCTCTTTTGGATTAATCCCTTCCGTTTTAGATCTGTTTTAGATCTCGTCTTGACAAGAGGCCAAAATAAAGAAGCTTTATTTTTATGATTTGGTCATTATCATTACGTCAGATTGCACACCTAACATAGTAGGTTACCCCACCAAATATGGTAAATAAGATAAGTATATATATATATATATATATATATATATATATATATATATATATATATATATATATATATATATATATATATATATATATATATATATATATATACACACACACACACACACACACACACACATACAGACACACACATATTTTTATCTTTTTATACACACACACACACACACATTTTTATCTTTTTATACATATACACACACACACACACATTTTTATCTTTTTATATACACACACACACACACATTTTTATCTTTATATATATATATATATATATATATATATTTATATATATATATATATATATATATATATATATATATATATATATATATATATATATATATATATATATTAAATTGCAAAACTGTCTGCGAATTATCACCACAAAATAATAATTTTGCTAAAACTAACACAAAAATTATCTAGGGGGTCTGATTGGTGTTTCTCAATAATGAGTTTGTTTGTTTGTTTGTTTGTTTGTTTGTTTGTATACTTTATTGTCCCTCAAGGGGAAATCTTCTGTAGACCCACAGAGCACTTCAGCAAGTTCTGACACAATAAAAAATTATAAAATAAGCAACCCTGCAAAGGGATTACATACAATTAAAACGTAATTTAGACTATCGATTAGTTTTCAACAGTCTGATTGACACTGGGTTAAAAGAGTTCTTAAATCGGTTCTGTATCGTCTACCGGAAGGTAAAAGATCATAAAATGGGAAGAGAACATGGGATGGATTGTTTAAAATTCTTTTCGCTTTATTTAACGTGCATTGCGAGCAAAGTGTTTGAATATTAGTAAAGGTTTCTGATCCTATTAGTCTCATAGCAATTCTGATAATAATAATAAATTTTAATTTTAGATTTACAGAAAGATTGCCCTACTATGTAGATAGACCATACCTGATGACACTCTCAGATACAGCCTGATAAAATAAGGAGATGATTTTCTTGTCAACAACGTAGAACCCTAACCTTCGTAGAAAATAGAGTCTTTGGTGAAGCTTTACACAAATCCAATTTACGTGAGTGTCCCATGTTAGAGACCTACCTACGGTTGAAGTCAGAATTATTAGCCCCCCTTTGAATTTATTTTTCTTTTTTAAATATTTCCCAAATTATGTTTAACAGAGCAAGGAAATTTTCACAGTATGTCTGATAATATTTTTTTCTTCTGGAGAAAGTCTTATTTGTTTTATTTCGGCTAGAATATAAGCAGTTTTTAAATTTTTTTAAAAACATTTTAAGGTCAAAATTATTTGCCCCTTTAAGCTAATTCGTTTTCCGATAGTCTACTGAACAAACCATCATTATACAACAACTAGCCTAATTACCCTAACCTGCCTAGTTAACCTAATTAACCTAGTTAAGCCTTTAAATGTCACTTTAAGCTGTATAGAAGTGTCTTGAAAAATATCAAGTCAAATATTATTTACTGTCATCATGACAAAGATAAAATAAATCAGTAATTAGAGATGAGTTATTAAAACTATTATGTTCAGAAATGTGCTGAACAAATCTGCTCTCCCTTAAACAGAAATAAAAAAAAACAGGGCGGCTAATATTTCAGGGGGGCTAATAATTCTGACTTCAACTGTATGTAAATTCTCAAATACTTGTATGACTGTATCTTGTTGATTTCTTGACTATGTACAAACACTGGTAAATGCTCGACAACACACTTGGGATCAAAGATTATTTCCTTTGTTTTTTTATTTTTTTGTATTAACCTTCGTATCACACAACTTAACAAATGTAATGCGGCTGGAAAGGGATCAGCTGCATAAAGTATATGCTGGAAAAGTTGGTGGATCATTCCACTGTGTTGACCTCTGATAAATCAGAGACTAAGCCGAAGGAAAATGAATAAATGATATCCTATGCTAATGAGGGAGAGATGGTCACTAATGGGCGGGGCTTCACCCCTCTGATGACATGTACAAAGGGAGCGTGTCAATCAAAGTGTTTCTGCAGACTGTTTCTATCAAGTGTGATTATAGCAAATAGAATCAAAACATTTTTACCATTAGAAGCTGCTTATGTTCACTCACTGTTGCCACTCAACTGGTTTAAAACCTCTTATAAAAGTGATTTTGCAAAATAGGCCTACTTTAAGTGTGAAATGACATCTTAATGCACTCAGTTTTTATAAAACACTTCACCGATTGTTTACAGTTTAACGACATTTACTCCCATAAATTCAAAGCATTATGAGCCATAGCAAAAAACATTTTCCTCTCTCTCATATGAGCGTTTGGAGCTTTTTAGCGTGTGATTCCTGTCCATCTGGAGCACTAAGATGAAGACACAGCCCAGTGACATGTCTTCACCCATTTAACACGTGTCTCTTTCATCTCTCTTTGCAGGCTCACCAACTGGACGCCACTAAACACTACGTGCGCCTTAAGTTCCTCATTGAGAACCAAGTGCAGTTCTACATCCCCAAACCAGAGGAGGATATTTACGATCTGGTAGGTTTTTGGTTAAAGTGGCTCTCCCTCCCGCTGGTTGGATGCGCTCGCATTACTTTCATCCTGCTGGGACATCACACTTCATCCAAACACCTTTTCTCTTCCTCTCTTTCTCCTCGTAATAACAGAATCTTCTGTGAGGCACAAAAGAAAAAGTTGTGCTCGTGCCATTATTAGGGGTGCAAGATATTTATCGTCTATGATAATATAGTGATGATTGTGTTAACATTGTATTGGCTGACTTTATGTGCACATGTGTAAGTGTGATATAAAGAGATAGATTTATAAAACTGTTTTGCCTTTTTTGTTTTGCCAAATTAACTACAAAATACCTACAAAGGCAAAGCAGAACATTGTGCATCTCATTTCAATATTGCTGTGTTTTCTCACTGAATGAGTGAATTGAATCATTTTGAGTGAATTGAGTCAGTCAACGATTCATTCATAAAGTCACTTGCTTTGTTTCTCAGCATTTAGGGAATCACTCATTCAAATGATTTATTCTAAATGAATGAATCATTCAGGCAGTGATCCATTTATAAATCTTGCTTTGCTTCTAAGCATTTAAGATTAAATTGTTTGAATCAGTGATATATTGAATTATTAATTCAAATGATTCGTTCTAAATGCATGTCTCTTGCTTTGCTTCTTAGCATTTAGAATCGATTGTTTGAACGAAAGAGTCAGTAAAGCACTCATTCAATTGATTAATTCTAAATGGATGAATCTTTCAGTCAGTGATCCATTCTTAAAGACAGTCACTTGCCTTGTGTCTTAGACGTTTAGAATGAATCATTTAAATTAATGATTCATTAAATCAGTCATTCAAATGATTCATTCAAAATGGATGAATCATTAAGTCAGTGATCCATTTATAAATACAGTAGCTTGCTTTGCTTTTTAGCATTTAAGATTAAATTGTTTGAATAAACAATTTAGTGAATCACTCATTCAGATGATTCATTATAAATAGATAAATCATTCAGTCAGTGATACATTTATAAAGACACTCGCTTGATTTGTTTCTAAACATTTAAGAAAGAATCAATTGAAAGTATGATTTAGGGATTTAATGATTCAGTAAATCACTCATTCAAATGATTTATTCTAAATGGATTAATCATTAAGTTAGTGATCTATTTATAAAGACATTAGCTTGCTTTGCATTTTAGTTTTAGGGCAGGAATCATGTAAATGAACGATTCAGTGATCACTCATTCAAATGGTTCATTCTATATAGATGAATCATTTAGTCAGTGATCCATCCATAAAGACAGTCGCTTGCTTTGTTCCTAAGCATTTAAGAATTCATTGATTTGATAAACAATTCAGTGAATCACTCTTTAAATTGATTCATTCTTAATGGATGAATCAATCAGTCAGTGACTCATTTTAAAGACAGTTGCTTGATATGCTTTTCAGCAATTAAGAATGAATTGTTTGCGTTAATGATTCAGTGAATCACTTGTTCAAATTCTTAATTTTAAATGGATTAATTATTCCATCAGTAACCCATTAACGGAGACAGCCACTTGCTTTCTCGGCCATTAAGAATGAATCATTTGAATGAATGATTCAGTGAATAATTCTAAATGGATAAATCATATAATCAGTGATTCATTTATAAAGACAGTCGCTTGCTTTGTTTCTCAGCGGCTGTTTCTCAATATGCGTTCTTCAGCGGTCTTGCGTCCTTGTGTTCTCGTGCAACGTCATCATCAGCTGCCTAAGTTCAGTTCCAATACTCAAGACCGCAAGTACGGAGGACGCGTGAAACTTCCCGGATGTGTTCTTGATATCGAGGACGCACTGATGCTGACTTGAGCACCGAACTTGCTCTGGAAGCCCCAGAAGTCATTGCGACTGGGGGTGGGAAGCGCAGCATTTTATTTAGATTTATTATTAAAGATTCAGAGATATCACTTATTTACCTCAGGAGTTTCCCTAAATGAAACGGTGCAAGTAAACATTAACATGAACATCTTAATAAAGGAATAAACACGTTAAGAGTTGTTTGTTTGCTGAAATTCGTATTAAAATCTGTTTTATTTATATTGTGCAGAGTATATTTCTAATGTTTTTATGCAAAATATATATTTTGAAGAGGGGGGAAACAATAAATCATTGTTTGACTGCTGTAATGTTTAAATAATTTCCATTTAAAACGCGTGAAGGTCACATGACCATCAGGAAGAACGCAGCATCCCATTTCTCAAAGGACGCGTTCTCTGTCCTCGCGGTCTCCTGAGTTCGTTCTTCCGAGGACACTTGGCAAGACCGGTCTCCACAAGAACGCAAGTCCGTTCTCTGCGTTCTTGGAATTGAGAAACAGCCAGCATTTAAGGATGAATTGTTTGATTGAACAATGAAGTGAATCACTCATTTAAATGATTCATTCTAAATAGATGAATCATTCAGTCAGCGATCCATGTATAAATATAGTTGATTGCTTTCTTTCTCAGCCATTTGACTCACTTGAATGAATAATTCAATAAATCACTCATATAAAAAATTTCATTCTAAATCGATGAATCATTCAGTAAAGGATTAATTCATAAAGTCAGTCACTTGCTTTTTTGTCAGCATTTCAGAATAGTTTGAGTGAATCATGATTCAGTGAATCACTTGTGCAAATTATTATTTCTAACAGGACGAATCATTCCGTCAGTGATCCATTCATGAATACAGTCACTTCCTTTGTTTCTCAGATATTTAGAATGAATAATTGAACAAATGATTCAGTGAATCACTTTTTCAGATGATTCATTTTTAAATGGATCAATCATTTAGTCAATGATCCTTTCATAAAGACAGTCACTTGATTTTTTTCTCAGCCATTAAGAATAAATAATTTGAACAAATGAATCAGTGAATCACTCATTAATACAGAGACTTGCCTTCACCTACTGGCAGTTTTTGTGTAGTTTATGTATTCATAACAGGCCTAAACAATTCAAGACCCGCACAGAAACACATTCAGCAAAATATGGTTTAATCATTATTATTAAATAAAACTAAAATACTGAGATATGTGATTTTGATCTATATAGCTAAGCCTAAAAGCATTTTCCTTTTCTTTTAACTGGAAAACAGCCACGCTGTGATCAAACGAATGCTTTGTTTTGAAGCTTTACTCTACATCCATCATTCTTAGCAGTTGTGCAGCCGTCTTCATTTATAATGTTTTGTGTGTCCGGGTCAGACATGATCGATAATAAAGAAACATACAGGAAAATGCCACCTGTATTTCCTCACCCTCGCCCTTTCACACCATCCCGTGTGTGTGAAATGTGAGATATCAGAGTTGTGTTGAGAGGAATATTAATGAAGAATGTTTTTCATTACAGCTGTATAAGGAAATCGAGCTGTGCTGTAAGATCAGGAAGGTGATCCAATTTGATCGGGATGAATCCTGCATGATCGGCTATGGTGAGAAATTATCATGTCTTCATCATGTCTGTTTTATAGCCTACATATGGTTTATTGGCTAATGCATATGTTTTATATGCTGTGTTGGCTGTAAATATTAAATGTATAAGCATGATGTCAGCTTAGGGTCATTTCCCCCCATATTCCTTTATTTAAATGTTTATATATAATGCCATGGATTGTAGTTTTGAGAAATATGCTGCTCACTTATGTCAGTCTCTTTCATTGTTTAGAAAAACCGTCACAAAGCTGTCACGTTTCTAAAATCAATTTTAGGCCACAAATATAAAAGAAATTGGGGGAGGGACTAATATAATTATATATAATATAATTATATATATATATATATATACATATTTTTTATATATATATAATTTTTATTTATTAAATGTTAGTTTAGTTAATTTCAAACTCTTAAAGTATTTTATTTTATTTACTAAGAATAATATTGTTAACAGATACACGCATTTTATAAGTTTATAATTTATACATTAAGCTGTAAAAGCTGATTTTATTGCTTTACATTAATTTATTTAGTTTGTTTATTATCAGTAATTACATTTATTTTATTAATGTATTATTGAATTACTGAAGAAGGTTGCTGGTTCAAGTCCTGGCTGGGCCACTTGTGTGTTAATAGTTTATACATTAAGTTGTATAAGCTGATTTTATTACTCTTATTTATTCGTTATTTACTATATACAGCGCGGGCGCTCACGATTCGGATTCTTGCAAACAAAAACTGCACAAATATGTACCTCCCGGGACGTATTTCGCTGTCTCCAGAAACATCCACGGGGCTACATTTTCAGAATGAGCCTGGGTAGTCTTTTATAATTGAACTGACATGCGGCTGTGGTGATGAATTACATAGCGATTTTATTGTTTCTATTACAAACTAGTACTGTTTTAAAAACGATTTAAACTTGTAAAACTCATTGTTGAGGTGCAGATGATCACAGAAAGCTGAACAGATCTTTTGATCCTGGTTGCTTTCTGCACGCCCTGTCTTGTTGATATGATTGCATGTGTTACTACTAGGACATGTTACTACACGTCTGTCAATCAAATTAGTGGGTGGGGATACCAAACTCCTACGTCACGTTGCAGTCGGCCTCAAAATGGGAGGGATTTGGATCCTATTTTAATGTCAGGAAATAAAAAAAGAGACTTATTTGGCTCTATTTTGATGGTCCATGCGCAGAGCGCAAAACGCAGGGCGCAAACGCTTTCAGGGCAGAACGCATTTTTGCTAATTTAAGGACGGGAAAATCCGTTTTGCGCCGTGGCGCATGGTCTAAAAGGGTTGAGTTTATTTTATTAATGAGCTATAGGTGTGTTTTGAGAATAAACCAATTACAGTCTCATCTCCCTTTCCCTTTAAGACCCAGCTGCGTTGCGCCATAAGCGCATTCGCTATTTACAGGACGCAAAGTAAGTCTAAGTGGAAAAACTGAGCATTTCACAAGCAAACAGTAAACAGTTAACAGATTTTTAACAGAAAACAGTTAAACAGAGCATCTACTGCGTGAGAATGAGAGATAATGGATCTACTTTCGCTCTTGGATAGGGAACCTTTATGCACAGACATCAATTAGTCTATAAATAAATACTTTTGTTTGTTAAGCGCAAATATTCGTTTCAAAACTATTTCTAAATTCACTTCTAATTTCCAGCAAACGAATAAATGAACAATAATAATGAAGTGTGCTTAAAAACCTGAGTTATATCCTAAAACACACGATTTGCCCCATATGGTCTAAAACCTGACAGGTGGGCAAATCTAAGCTTGTTTTTAATAAAACAAATATAAATATGGATATAATAAATAATACTGCTAATAATAATAACATTATACAAAGGCAAATTGTTATGAATGAACTAAAAAAGCCTCCCGAGATGAAGAAGACATAAAAGCAGTGATTTTTCATATTTATGTAGGCTAGAAAATAATATGTTTTGTAATATTTTAATCCTTTATATTTATATTCTATATCTATTCTTATTATATCCTATATATATCCTTAATATTTAAATTTTTTCATATGTAAAGATGTTTGCCTATTGCTCTCTTGTGCGTATTAAGCAGTGTGTAAGCGAGGCGCAACTCTGCGCCGGAGTTTAGACCGGGTTAGTTTTGGTCTAATAAAAAATCTATTATAGTTTCTCAAAATAGCAACAAGCCAGCAGTTCGCCTCAGAACGCCTCCCTTTTTAGACCAGAACGCCTATGGGCGCACATATGAGCGCTAATGCATTTGCTATTTAAAAAGCGTAGCGCAACGCCTCAAAACGACTCTTGCGCCAAGCTGAAACTAGCAAAAGACTATTGCGCCACACCTTGCGGCACACTGCGCCGGATGTATGATAGGGCTCATTGTGTTTCTATAACCCCAATATGACTGTGGACACACTATACCTGCACACAGTTATATCCTAACGGCTTACAAAAGATGATTTTCATCATAGGTGCCCTTTGATAAGATATTAGTTAAAAAAAATTATTTCAGATTATACAAATATTTGTGTACAAATGGAAATGGAAATGTTTCACATGTATTCACACGTATTTTTCCAAGGCAGAACAAAAACAAAGCATAAAATGGGGAATAAATGATGTCACATGAATATAAAATGGGGAATAAAATGGTAATTCATTCATTCATTCACTTTCTTGTCGGCTTAGTTCCTTTATTAATCCGGGGTCACCACAGCGGAATGAACCACCAACTTATCCAGCAAGTTTTTTACGCAGCGGATGCCCTTCCAACCGCAACCCATGTCTGGGAAAATAAAATGGTAATAATAGGGAATAAAATGGGGAATAAATGATGTCATAATTAAGCATTTTTGATGATCCTGTCCCTTTAATGATCTGACCTTCTTACTGTAAGGTTGTAGGTTCAAACCCCTCAAGGTTTGATCCCAGATTAAGCTTGATTATGACGTGTGTGCTTATGTGTGTGTTTGACAGGTTTCTCCATCTCTGTGGTGGAGGAGGACGGCGTTCAGCAGCTCTACATCACTGACGTGAGAGCTGGAGGATTAGCCTTCGCTAAAGGTTCATTAGCTCCTAATTACATTCTCTTTCTGTTTCACCCCGTCTCCTGCTTTTCTTCTGTTCTTTTCCCTCTCAGTCCGTTCTGCCACTGCTGTAATTGCTGATATCTGCGCTGTGCTCCTGGTGTTATGTAACATGTTGTCAGCTCTGTGGGCTTTCTGAGAGCCAGAGATTGCAGATTTACCCTCAGCTCTTCTAAACTCTCCATAATGACAGAAGATAAAGGGAATCAGAGAGATCATTATAGGGGGATTCACTGAAGTGCTGTACCTACATGTGCATTACAGGGAACGTATCATGCAAAACAGCGTTTTTCTGGCTCTTTTGATTTATTTTGTTTGTCTATTTGTATTATAGTAATTTTAGTTTAGCATGTACTTATACTGTAGATGAGTGGTATCAAAAAAATGTGAGACAGTAAATGTACACAACAATAAAAAGAAAATAATAATAATAATAAAAAACAATAATAATAAAATCAAAGGGTTAAAAGTATTTCTAGACAAGCAATAAAATAATCCCAATGTTAAAATGAGTTTATTAAATAAAGATAATAAAAGCGTATGTATAATACATATAATGTTCACAGTACATCTACATTAATAATATAATAAAAGCAAGCTGTCAATAAAATGTACTTAAACTATATATACAGCAGGGAAAATAAGTGTTGAACATGGCACTATTTGTCTCAGAAAACTTATTTAGGTGTCTTTATTTTAGTTTACATACGTAGGTGCCGTTGAGTTGAAATTTTCACCGGATGTTGGTAACAACCAAAGAAATCCATAAGTGCAAATAAAACAAATCTAATTAGATTACAAATTAAATTATGTGTAATAAAATAAAACGATGCAGGGAAAATTATTGAACACACGAAGAAAGGAGGGTGTAAAAAGGCATGGTAAGCCCAGACAGAAGCTGTAAATCTCAAATGATTTCAGAGAAAGAAAAATTAAGCTGTAGAATGGCCCAGCCAATCACCTGAATTGAATCCAATATAGAATTAAAAAAAAGATCAGATTTGATAGACGAGACCCACAGAGCCATCAAGGTTTTTACACTCTGTTGAAGTTGTTGTGAAAAAAAGATTCTGGTCTGCAAAATATATTAAGTTTCTAAGTCAAAGTTTTCAAAACTTAACAAAGTCTGAGATCTCCGGAGTTTTTAGGCAAAGTAGTGTATTGTTACAGCATGAGTAACAACAGAGACAGGTCGTTCGAGTGTCTGATGAGTATAGGCTAGCACACAGTTAGATACATTTCTTTGTTTTATCACTCCACCCAAATTTACACATTAACGCACCTGAATTAGCTTCTCCACTCATGGGATTTCAAATCTCACATGTGCTCCCTCCCCATGGTCAGTTGAGTAATTTCCTAACCACCAATAGAACCTCCCTTTTTTAGGGATCCTCCCCATGACCATTTAAGGTCTTTAATTTCTACTTCAAATGTGGCAAATCAGAAAAAAACAATGCTCAGCAATATATCTAGTTGACTATACCTTGAGCTGTCAACTGTAAGTCTGAAGTTCACGGCCAGTTTTAGGGTCATCATATTTCTGAAGTCATTGCAACTGAGCGTGGGCGCATGTCTGAGTGTGCAGATGTGTATAATCATGAGTCGCACACGAAACAGAACGCAAGTGCCCTTACGATCTTACTTCCATACATCTACTCTCATTGTGGTATTTAATAGACACATAATAATAATACTGAAACCACTCAAATAAGCATATAAATGAGAGCAATAAATTCATCAGAAGTTCATTAAGACACAATGAATTCCCCATCAAGGTCTGTGAAAAACTCACACCTGAGCAATGCATGTGATGTGACTTCACCAAAAAAAAGCCTTTTATACAAAGCATTAAATACATTTCAGTAGTTCAGTACTTTCTCATCTTCATTCATTCATTTTCTTGTCGGCTTAGTCCCTTTATTAATCCGGGGTCGCCACAGCAGAATGAATCGACAGCTTATCCAGCAAGTTTTTACGCAGCGGATGCCCTTCCAGCCGCAACCCATCTCTGGGAAACTTTCTCATCTTGTCATTCCATTTTTATTACACATCATTTTTCAGATTTGTTTGTTTAGTTTTATTTTTATGCTTGTATTGTTTGGGTTTTTACCCAAATCTGGTTCAATTTTTATGTCAACAGCGAATATTACTCCCAGAAAAAAACATGACATGTACAATACTTATTTTTCACCACAGCATATATACAAATTATATACAATTACAATATATAGATATAAATAGGGGGCGAGGCAGTGGCGCAGTAGGTAGTGCTGTCGCCTCACAGCAAGAAGGTCGCTGGTTCGAACCTCGGCTCAGTTGGCGTTTCTGTGTGGAGTTTGCATGTTCTCCCTGCCTTCGCGTGGGTTTTCTCCGGGTGCTCCAGTTTCCCCCAAAGACATCCATACAGGTGAATTGGGTAGGCTAAATTGTCCGAAGTGTGTGAATGTTTCCCAGAGATGGGTTGCGGCTGGAAGGGCATCCGCTGCGTAAAAACTTGCTGGATAAGTTGGCGGTTCATTCCGCTGTGGCGACCCCGGATTAATAAAGGGACTAAGCCGACAAGAAAATGAATGAATGAAGATATAGATAGATAAAAAAACAATAAAAATATAACAAATATTAGAAAAAGATTGATCAAAATAATATATTTTCTAGTGCAATAAATGGGCAATTTGCACACAGACACAATAAGGTTACAGTAACAAATACTATAGAAATAATTTGAAATGTATTTATATTGTGAATTCATTTAATTCTCTTCACAAGCCATGAGCTAATATTACACATGTGCTTAAAGGACAAAAATATTGAATATGGTCACTTTAAATGACCATCATTTCAGGCTTGTGTTTGCATCTAGACACTGTGAGCACACTGAATCAAACCCTCTCTGAGTGATGTCTGGGTGATCGGTGTTGTTTATTGCTGATATTTCACATCGACGAGAAAACTGGGTCAAACCCACAAGCTGAAGGGAAGAGGCAAGACGAATCGAGAAGCTACAGACCTTTTTTTTTTTATTGCATCTATTTATTTTGCTGCCGGCCTTCACTTCAATGAGGACATGCTGTATTATTCATATGAAATATTTCAAAGTGAAACTGAATATTTGTGTAAAGAATGTAAAGCAGAATTAATTACAAAATAGAGTAAAAATAGACTGTTTCATATATGAGAATGAGCTTTTACAATTTATGTAATATTCACTTCATTTCAGTTAGTTGCTACTCAACATTTCTCCCATACAAAATATATCTGATTTATGACCATATACACTCATCGGCCACTTTATTAGGTACAGTGTTGGACCCCTGTTTGCCTTCAGAACTGCTTTAATCTTTCTTGGAATAGATTCAACAAGGTAGTGTAAATATTCCTCAGAGATTTTGTTTCACATTGACATGAAAGCATCACGCAGTTGCTGCAGATTAGTCGGCTGCACATCCATGATGCGAATCTTCTTTTTCACCACATCCAAAAGGTGCTCTATTGGATTGAGCTCTGGTGACTGTGGAGGCCATTTGAGTACAGTGAACTCATTGTTATGTTCAAGAAAGCAGTCTGAGATGATTTACGCTTTATGACATGGTGTGTTAACCTGCTGGAGGTAGCCATCAGAAGATTGAAGATCACTATGGTCATAAAAGGATGGACATGGTTAGCAACAGTACTCAGGTAAGCTGTGGTATGACACGATGCTCAATTGGTACTAATGAGCCCAAAGATTGCCAAGAAAATATCCCCAACACCATTACACCAGCCTAAACTGTTGATACAAGGCAGGATGGATCCATGCTTTCATGTTGTTGATGCCAAATTCTGACCCCACCATCTAAATGTTGCTGCAGAAATCGAGACTCATCAGACCAGGCAACGTTTTTCCAATCTTCTATTGTCCAATTTTGGAGAGCCTGTGTTAATTGTAGTCCCAATTTCCTGTTCTTAGCTGACAGGAGTGGCACCCGGTGTGGTCTTCTGCTGTTTTAGCTCATCCGCCTCAAGGTTGGACGTGTTGTGTGTTCAGAGATGCTCTTCTGCAGTCCTCTGTTGTAACGAGTGCTTATTTAAGTTACTGTTGTCTTTCTATCAGCTGGAACGTGTCTGGCCATTCTTCTCTGACCTTTGGCATCAACAAGCCATTTGCGCCCACAGAACTGCCGCTTACTGGGAATTTTCTCTTTTTCATACCATTCTCTGTAAACCCTAGAAATGGTTGTGCGTGAAAATCCCAGTAGATCAGCAGTTTCTGAAACACTCAGACCAGCTCGTCTGGCACCAACAACAATGCCACGTTCAAAGTCACCTAAATCCCCTTTCTTCCCCATTCTGATGCTCGGTTTGAACTGCAGCAGATCTCCTTGACCATTTCTATATGCCTAAATGCATTCAGTTGCTGGCATGTGATTGACTGATTAGAAATCTGCAATAGCGAGCAGTGGGACAGTTGTACCTAATAAAGTGGCCGGTAAGTGTAAGTTTAATTAATAAAATAAATTTAAATTACAGAACTGAAATTATATAATTTTACTACATTTTAATTTAACTATAATTTTAGTTTTATTTAATAATTTCATCCTAATTTATGTTTAAAATTAAAAATATATATGCATAAATATATTTAAATATATATGCTTATATATATATATATATATATATATATATATATATATATATATATATATATATATATATATATATATAAGAGATGGGTGTTTTATGCATTTGTTGTATATTATTTCAGTTTTAAATAACAATACTGTGTGCTGTAAATGTATGTATTTATTGTATCCATCTGCATTTACTATAAATCCAAGTAGAGAAAAAAGATTCATAACATTTTTTTTCTTTATAATAGTTTTTTTTTTGTTTGTATGTTTTTTTGCACAAGAACATCCATAATCATGTCTTACGCAACTAAATAGAGCCCTTTTTTTCTCTATAAAACTTAGCGAGTCCTAGTTTTATTATCCGCATGCAAGCTCACAGTACATTTACCAACTCCATCCATTTTGCATATATCAGAAGAAGAAAATCTATGATTGCAATATCCCGCTGCTGTAATTATTCATGCCGCATTACCACATTGAACTGATTGCAGGCCTGAATGCAGGAGATGAGATTCTCCAGCTGAACGGGAAGGACTCGCGGACTCTGACCTTCGCTGACATGAAGGTGGCGTTCGCTCAGGTCTCTTTGTCGCTCACAGTCAATACACTCCCCCCTGTGGAGCGCCGGCAGCTCTGCTATCTGCCGCCCAGGCGTTCCGACGCTGTGGACAATCTCTACACGGACATCTTCTCTCAGAGCCAAGGTGAGGAGAGATCAGAGTCTGATGATGCAATTCAGTCATGTGTTTCAGTTGTGTTTCAATAAAACATGCAAACAATTATCCATGCTTTATCCATCTTAGTGCTATGGCTCATAATGCTTTGAATTATGGGAGTAAATGTCATTAAACTGTAAACAATCAGTGAAGTGTTTTAGAAAACGGTTCACGGTAAGATGTCATTTTACACTTAAGGGGGCCTATTATGCATTAATCACTTTTATAAGGGGTTTAAACTCAGTAGTCTGGCATCAGTGTGTGCATATAACCAGCTTCTAATGGTAAAAATGTATTTTTTTATAATCACACTTGATTAAAACAGTCTGCAGAAACACTTTGATTGACATTCTCCCTTTGTATGTCATCAGAGGGGTGAAGCCCCGCCCATTAGTGACCATCTCTCCCTCATTAGCACAGGGCATCAGTCTTAAGCTGCGTCCTAAATCGCATACTTATGCACTATTCTACACCATTTTGTAGAATAAATAGTGTTAGTAGTGTGTTCATACTGAAAACTCTAAAAAATAATAAGAGCACTTTAATTACCCGGATGATGCACTCATTCAGCCGCTAAAATGAAGTGTGTAATGATGAACACTTCATGTAATCAATGACCGCAGGTTTGCTTACGTAGTGGAAGGGGCGGAGCTATCAGACGCACATGTTAAATAACTTTATTTATTTTGGATGGTGAAAGCAAAATTCTCCTACGAGAGTGATTATAGCGCCTCCCGATGGTAAATGCGGCAATACTCACGGCAGGTATTATTTGATAATTCTGTCATTTATTTCACTGATTTGGCAACCGTCAAACGTCATCAGGGAAACGGTTTGAATTTCCGCTTAGTAAAAAAAACATTAGTGTGCCATTTGGGACGCCACTACATACATATACTATCCTGTTGAGTGTGTAAGTGCATAAGTACATAGTACATGAGTGCATAGTGTATAGTGTGCCATTTGGGACGCAGCTTTGATTTTGAATCTGCCACTGATGACGCTGACACACAGGCATTTGTAGCTCCGCCCTCTTTTGAAAAGAGCACAAGCTCATTTAAATATAAAGCGACAGTCACCAAAATGGCACAATTGGGATCAAAGCCTAAAAGGGTCAGTTTCAAAGAGTTATAAAACATGACTTATATTTTGAGTTGAAACTTCACACACACACACACACACACACACACAAACACACACACACACACACACACACACACACACACACAAACAATTTAGGGACATTAGAGAATTATTCACCCAGTAATAATGAAAATAGTAATAATAATAATAATCCCTTACATTTATATAGCGCTTTTAAGGACATTTTTTGGGGGAATCTTCTCATCTACCTGGATGACACAATATTGTGCCAGACCACACACCAGCTGATTGGTGGAGAGACATTGGAGTGATGAAGCCAATTATGATATGGGGATGGTTAGGAGGCCAGTGGTCAAAATAAACTCCTACTCTTTTTCGAAGGACATCCTGGGATTTTTAACAATCACAGAGGGTCAGGACCTCGGTTTAACCTTTCATCCGAAAGACTTGCCAAGCAGTATTGACCTTATTCTAAAATGCGGAAGTGCGCCTGTTTTTGCGATTGTCTTAGAAGTTCCAATTCAGTCGCCTATGGGAGAAATGATTAGGAATAATAAACGGCAGAAAACGGTCAAACTACTTGCTCTACAAACAAATGTTTGCATGACTATACAGACCAAGTAGAATAATATATAATAAGAAAATATCAAATTGCAACATCAAGCAGCGGAATGAGCAGTTTTTTTACTGTCAAAAAATGAATGGAAGTGAATGAGACCGAAAGTCTCAAGCCAAAAAGATTCAAAAGGAAGAATATGATGAATAGCAGGGGTGGCCAACTCCATTCCTGGAGAGCCACCCTCCTGCAGATTTCAGTTGTAACCCATATCAAACACACCTGCCTGTAATTATCACGTGGTGTTCAGGTCCTAATTAATTGGTTCAGGTGTGTTTGATATGGGTAGCAACTGAAATCTGCAGGAAGGTGGCTCTCCAGGAACAGAGTTGCCCCCCCCTGCAGTATAGAGCCCCCATTAGTACACTGGGGCTTTATAGGACCCACACAGACTGCACTCTGGGCGCCCCCTGCTGGTCTCACTAACACCACTTCTGGCAGCAACCTAGCTTTCCCATGTGGTCTACTGACCAGACGCAGCCCTGCTGAGCTTCATTGGGCGACCATGTGAGAGTTGCTGAGAGCTACCTGCCGGCTTATAAAATATATGAAGTCATTGAATCATTCATTCAGATTGACATTCAAAAATACAATATTCAGCAAAAAATTTCTTAGCCAGAACAAAAGTTGTGTGCAATTTGCGCTATACTTCCAGCTCATAGGTTTATTCGAAATTTCCATACTGAATTATTGTATAAATCGGCTTGTTAAGTGTGACGTCATTCAAAGTGGCCGCCAGGTCCAGGCGCTATATTAAACTGTAATGGGAGACTCATCAAATGTTAATTATAAATGTTTACAAAGTGATGCAATACTTTCGAAAATCACACTCACTATATATATATATATATATATATATGTCTATATATATATATATGCCTAATATCAGATGGCCAGAAAGTGATACATTTTTTATAAATTGTTAAAATTTTGGTATTTGTGATTGGTATTTGTGGAAGTCCAGAGTCTGTTGTGTACCTCATGATTTTATATAAAAATTAACTTTAATGTGTGATATAACTAAAAAGTGTCCATAAATTAATATTTTCAACAAGCTTGGACCCAAAAACAGTATTCCATGTGTCTCTGATACAAGCAGACAATAAACTTATTGTAGGAACCCCCTAAAATGCTACATTTTAATGCATTCATGAGATTCAGTCAACTTATTGTGTTTCCACAGAGGAGATCCTTGACGATGGCGTGGGTCTGATTGTGGAGACTTCAGGAGACAGTTTAGATGACGACTCGGAGCTCTTCGCCGAGTTTGATGACTACGGAAAGGTAACAAGTCCTCCTTACTCGATCAAAGTTTTTATTTGAAGATATCTGCTTGGATCTTGTGCCGCTTCTCCCAGAGCGATGGGACACTTTTCCTGTCTGTGCGTGGGTTTCGTTCACACTCACCAAATCTAGAACTGCAGGCCTTCAAAAGTCTGAACTATGAGCGAGAAGAATCACACTGCAGGAACGCTGCACCATCTGTCATCTGTGCTGTTTTTAAACTGAGGGACGCTTACACTTCAGTCTCTGTAGATGCTCGTGTCACACTCATTTGACCATGACCCTCTCTATCTATCTATCTATCTATCTATCTATCTATCTATCTATCTATCTATCTATCTATCTATCTATCTATCTATCTATCTATCTATCTATCTGTCTGTCTGTCTGTCTGTCTGTCTGTCTGTCTGTCTGTCTGTCTGTCTGTCTGTCTGTCTGTCTGTCTGTCTGTCTGTCTGTCTGTCTGTCTGTCTGTCTGTCTGTCTGTCTGTCTGTCTGTCTGTCTGTCTGTCTGTCTCCATTCGTCTATACATCCATGCATCCATTATACCTCTGTATAATGTAATGAATATATCATTCGTCCATCTATTGTCCATCCATCCATATATCATCCATGCATTTATTCTTTAGACCAACCTTGCATCCATCCATCCATCCATCCATATATTCATCTATCCATGATCTGCCAGTTTGTCCATCTCTCCATCCATGCATCCGCACGTCTATATCTGTCTGTGATAATAACCCGTCTGCAGTGTATCTTTTGGAGATAATTAGTTTGTGTTAAGACGTGTCACAGTAAAACAGAGGTCATTTGATTTCCTTTTGCATCCTAATTGCTTTATTGTGAGGCACAATTAGCCAAATCTTAGAGGCGGAAATGAAGATGGTCTCAGAAGATTCACATTTAGACGCTGTGAGGGTCCGTGTTATTATTTTTCGATGCCACGGTTCACAGTGCAGGATACAGTCACAGTTGTTTCATCGAACAGACATGTTGATGGATGCGTTGAGATGATGGAACCAATCTGATTCCACACGATCCTTCCATATTTACATACAGGGACTATTTTTAGAAACCTCCTTCCAGAATTCATGTGAGCAAAGCACTGTTGAGTTAAAGCCAAACTTATTTTCTGATATTTGTTTCTTGGTCGACCTAATTCCTAGACATTACATAGTCTTTTTTTTCAACTTAGTCCAGGTGATATTATAGTTTTGGTCTGCTCTAAACATCTCACATCTGTTTGTCTCATTGTGAGAGGAATAATGTAATGCAGCCCTACTTAAATGACTCTGTGGCTGTGTTAGAAAATGAGGTGAAATGGTACTCGATATTCATTTGGTTTTTAAATGAGCAGCTATGTTTTACACCAGTCGTATATTTTAATGACCTTGTTCATCAAAATAAAGAAGCGTTGGCCACTTTTTTAATTTTCCACATCAGTGTAGACTGTGAAATTGCATTCATAAGTTTCATGAATGTTACCAGTATGTTAATCTCTCAAGTAGTTTAATGTCAGAAACTAAACTTGAGCTGAAAAACAAATCTGTTCATTTCTGTAGAGCTGCTTATTGATGAATTTAACGTATTTTGTAAGTCAGTTCAATAGCTACCCACTAAGAAATGTTGTATTTAATAGACGTCTAATAGACGTCTAAACATAAACAGCTAAATAAGGCTAAATTTGGTCTGTCAGTAAAAGTGTAATAGATGTCTAAACATTGACAGCTAAAACAAGGCTAAATTTGGCCTCTCAGTAAGAGTCTAATAGGCATCTAAACGTAAACAGTTAAAACAAGGCTAAATTTGGTTTGTCAGTAAAAGTCTAACAGATGTCTAAACATAAACAGCTAAAAAAAGGCTAAATTTGGCCTGTCAGTGAAAGTCCAATAGATGTCTACACATTAACAGCTAAAACAAGGCTAAATTTGGTCTGTCAGTGAAAATATAATAGACGTCTAAACATAAACAGCTAAAACAAGGCTAAATTTGGCCTGTCAGTAAAAATATAATAGACGTCTAAACACAAACTGCTTTATCAAGGCCAAATTTTTATCCTGGCAGTGAAAGTCTAATAGATGTCTGAACAAAGCAGCTTAAGCAAGGCTAAATTTGGTCTGTCAGTAAAAATATAATCTATGTATAAACACAAACAGCTAAGACAAGGCTAAATTTGGTCTGTCAGTAAAAATCTAACAGACGTCTAAACATAAACGGCTAAAACAAGGCTAAATTTGGTCTTTCAGTGAAAATCTAATAGGCGTCCAAACACAAACAGCTAAAACAAGGCTAAATTTGGGTTAAAGGCTAAACAGACGTCTAAAAATAGCCCCAAAATAGACCAGTCATCGAATACACAGATTAGTTTTATTTCACATGTGAAGTCATTCATTCATGTGTATTTGATTGACTATTGTCCTGTTTTCGACTATTTTTAGATGTCCATTAGATTTTAGCCTCATTTTAGCCAAAGCATCTATGTTTAGAAATCTATTTGATCTCTTTTAAAAACATTAAATGTTTGCTGGATATTATTGATCTGAACTGAATAAACATTAAACTAAATATTGATTCTAAACATATATATACACACAGCAATATATTAACAAGGCAGCTTGGCTTTACTTATTGTTCAAGTGAGTAACTCTTTCTCATAATTGGATGCAGCAGTTTAGAAATCATTTAGTCTGTTTTCACTGTCGAGCTTTCCACATTTTGCCACTGTTGTCGCATTTTTTTTTTGTTGCTAAGTGCAATTCACACAGTTTGAATATGCTCCAAGCTGTTGCACCAATCATCGATGACAGTATCTCCATATCCTGATGTTTCCCCTCTCAATTATGCATGCAGAAATATGACTTGCTAAACACTTTTGGAATTAATCTGCTTGCTCTACCAATTAAATGCAATATAAATGTACGTTTTTTTACACTCCGTTTGATCTGGAAGCAAGTGGCCCAGCATGATAAAACTGGATGTCTCACATTATGAGCCCAGACTTTGAGCGTCTCTGATGTGCAGAATGAGTGTGTTCTGGGTCTGAAGTGTGTGTTGGCTGTCGGGCCCAGGCAGAGAGATGCACTTTGGGTCAGCAGAGAGACAGCGGGACTCTGGGTCTCGCCGGGAGCCTGAGCAAGATTGCGTTTGGCATGCATAGACATGTGTCTGTCTGTTTTTCTTTCTGGCCTTTATTAAAGAGGAGAAAGTAGAAGAGGGCAGGCGAGGAATGCAAAGGAATCTATAATCAGCTTTAGTGGACACTCATATATATGTATATTTAATTCCGGTTATACATGCTCTGATTATGTGTATATTTTGAGCCAAGAAATTTGTTTATCTTCTCAGTTCCATTCATTAATCTATATTCATCCATCTGTGTATTTATTCGTCTAGTTATCTATCGATTCATCCAGCCATCCATCTAGTCAACTATCCTAATATTATTCATTCATTCATCCATCAATCCACATTTCTTCCATCCATCCATTGATTAGTATCATTTAATCAATCAATTAATCAATCAATCGACGGACCGATCAATCAATCAATCAATCAATCAATCAATCAATCAATCAATCAATTAATCAACCTCTAATCTCATCTATAATCCATCCATCCATCTGTCAATCCAAAAACAAATCTATCATCCATCCATGCACTCATCTATCTATATATCATCCATCCTATCATTTATTCATCTATCAATCTACAAACCCATCTGTCTATCATCCATCCATCTAGTCAACCATTCATCCATCTAGTCAACCATCCATCCATCTAGTCAACCATCCATCCATCTAGTCAACCATCCATCCATCCATCTACTGATCTTTCTATAATCATCTATTTACTCAACTTTCTAAATATCATCCATTCATTAATTTGTCCATCTATCGATCCATATTTCTTCCATCTATTCATTAATTTGTCTACCATCCATCCATCCATCCATCCATCCATCCATCCATCCATCTATCCATCCATCCATCTATCCATCCATCTATCTATAAATCCATCTGTATGTCATCTATCCATATACTTATCCATTCATCTATCCACGCACAAACCCATCTGTCTGTCTTCCATCCATCCACTTATCCATCCATCCATCCATCCATCCATCCATCCATCCATCCATCCATCCATCCATCCATCCAAACATCTATTAATTTGTCTATCCATCCATTCATGTACCCATCTTTCTATTATCATCTATCTATTTAACTATTTAAATATCATCCATTTACTCGTTTGATTCATCCATCCATCCGTCCACTGATCAGTCAACCATCCGCCCATCCTTCCATCCAGCCATCCACCCATCCATCCACCCATCCATCCATCCATCCATCCATTCATCTATCTATCCATCCATAAACCCATTAGTCTGTCATACATCCATGGATTTAACTATCCACCCATACCCATCTGTCTATCATCCATTCATCTACTTATCCATATTATATTTGTCTATCTATCCATCCACAAACCCATCTGCTACTCATCTGTTTATCAATTTATTTATCTATCCATATATACATCCATATACCCATTGGTCTATCATCCATCCATCTGGTCAACTATGCATATATCCATTCATCCATCCATCCATCCATCTATCCACCCATCTATTCTTTTATCCATCTATTCATGCACTTACCTCTATTCATGCCCATGTTTATCATCAATTAATCTACTAATCTATCATTCAGCTCTCCATCTATATACTCATCTGTCTATCATCCATCTACTCATGCATGCATCCATCCATCCATTTATTTATCTATCCATCAATCCATTCATATACCTATCGGTCTAACATCAATCCATCTGCTCAACTATCCATCCATCCATCCATCCATCCATCCATCCATCCATCCATCCATCCAAATAGATATGTCTGCATTTATTTTTTAAAATATGCCATATAATGTCCAATTTTTCAAATAAATTTAAATTGCTTGCTGTTTTACTTATAATGCACCGACAGTCATTA